AGTTACTCATGGCAAATTAGACGATCATACGTCCATTGCTTGACGGGCAACCACGTCGAGCTGAAGCAGGTAATGAAAAACCAATTACCGATAGCTCAAGCTATTATTTGGTTTGCCTAAATGACTAAAACCCATCTTACAATGACTAGACTCTCCGGAAATTAGGCCCCGTTTTGTCTGGAAATGGGATATCTTGTCGCTTTTGTGGACACCAAACGATTCATTCCTTTTCGCCACACACGCATCTGTGACTGTGGCTTTTCAAACCGGACAATGTCGCTGCTGTAGTCTCAGACGAAATCGCACTGCTGTCTGACTGGTGGTTTTGCAGCGGATCCGTCAACAATACCTTACAACCCTGCTAGTCAACAATCCGCAACAGCCCGAAAAGAAAGGCAAGACCGATGATGGCTAATATAACGCTGTATTTCTATTTGACATCACGAACGTCAACGGTAATCGATGATCTAAGACATCTGATCAACTCGAGAATAAATTTCACTCACAATCGTTTTATGAAAGTACATTTCAAATATTATCCTCTTAGAGTGTTGGCAGTGAGATGCAGTAAACCCTCAAAAACTACTGAACTGAATCAGCATAGCGGACTGGTGGTCTCAGAGGTCGGCTTAAACGGGGGGCTTGAACAGGGTGGGGTTAGAGGAGAGTGCAGGGGAAGCTTGTTATTGTTTAAATGCGGTAAAGGACGCTGTTCTCATATGTGTAGGCTGCTTCAAGTCGGTCTACACTCACAGCCTCAAGGGATCCATTTTTTTCGGTTGTAAAAAATTCGTCTTTGCGTTTTACCACTTTAAGTGTTTTTTTTGACACAATCAACGCGGGCAAAGGCATCAAGAGAAGTTAACAAATTTGGTGGAAACTCTTAATGGGGTTGCTCGAATTTCTTTCATGAAGCACTTCAGTTGATCGCCGTAGGCTGAAGAGGGAATACGACCATTCCCATAAGCTTCTCGAACTGCGTTGGGTCTTTGGAACGAGGTCGATTGTGTTAATGTGTGCCAGGAGAGATTTGGTCCATATTTGACACAGAACAGATCCATCAACCTTGCCATCTCCAACAAAGAGGCGCGTATGCCGAAGGAGACCTGTCAACTAGTTCGATACCAGAAAGCAGGTGTCGTCGTCGGGCCTCGTTCAAGACGTTCAGGGATCGACGTTTAGCAAGGCTATATAAACGTACTTGTTATCTTGTACGCATACACACACACCGCTGCATCAATAAATTAGTTGAGCTACGCGCCATCAGCATTTTCTGCTCTTTCGGTCGGGCAGTGTCAATGTAGATTGTCGGCCCTGGTGTGGTTTCTAAAACCGCACCGGGGCCCACTACACATCTCTCGATAGCAATGCAAAAACGTGTACATACTTGGAGGGCTGGGAAGTAATCATCTGATGGCGAAAATGAGCCTCATGTCACCTCAACTTAACTGGGGTGTTAGGGCAGTACTGAAGACAGCTAACTGAATATCTGATCTGCAAACAAGGGTTTACAGCAATGGGGACACTCAATCTTAACAAAACAGAGAGTTATGAAGTGTTCCTGAGAAATTGCTAATTGTCAAATCCCGAATTAAGTGGTTACGTTTTTCGGGGTCACCAAATGTAGCGGCGTCGTTACCACTACCTTTCAACCCTGCTAGTCAACAGCCAGAGAAGCAAGGCATGACCGATGGGAGCCAAACTACCGCTTTTTTACATTTGACCACCTGAGTCTGTTAAAGCACAACGCACGAGTGCAACTCGAACGTCAGGTGTAATCGATAATCGATGACAATCGATGAACTCATGAATATGCTTCACTCGCGCTAGTTTGATGAAAGTTCCCTACAAGTATTATTTTAATCATCCTCTTCTTCTTGTAACCCAATCACATTCCAGCTCGATTTCAAATGCTTATCACATTTATTAATTAACAACAATTACGTGAGCGCAGAAAATTTAGCTCAGCATCATTGGTCGCAGAATGCATATTTAAAACGTAGTAAGCCAATCAGTATACAAGTCAGTTCAAATTGGATGAACGATCGATCAAATTAGGTATCATTGGACAATACATAACACACACACACATACATGCATAAATCATTGCAGGAATGCTTTTTGTAGCTTATAGAAACGTCTAAAAGTCGACTCAGAGGATTTTAGCAGCCTGAATTAGGCGTTGGCTTCCGACGTTGCTGAGATTAAAATAACTACATTATCACTGCAGACGAATCCAGGGAAAACACCATTAATCATTTATCATCACATGACAGACTCCTTGGGCCATTAATTACATGAATCTTTTACATCCCTAAAAGGCAAAATAAGGGAATTTTTACGCAGTCAAGACCTACAAATAGGTATATTGCCGAGATGATGAACGCGCATCAGTACGATTCATCACATCACCGCAGCAATTTGACGCTTCTAAGCCTTTGATTTAGCATTGGAATAGACCTGAGGTGTCAAATTTGCATATTAAACATTTGTATTATTGATCATTCAACTCCATGCAAAAGGTTAGGCAAATGAATTTCATTGACAGCCTGCTGCAGTGTAAGGAAAATGTCGGCAAGGCAATAGACAAGGGTTATTAGTATGGAAATGCATGTTTTATCTCGTTTCCCAGAAAGCTACTTAATTAAGCGACGCTTTACCAATAAAACTGTTGTGAATCGTGCTTATACACACTCCTTAATCCGGTCGCTCCATCCTCCGACACAGGGTCCCCCTTTTCGCAGCATGTCGCCAGCCGCGCGGATCCTCAACTCTCGCCTCATTCGCACGAATACCTATCTTGGATTATCCTCGTACTTAGGGCTCATCTATGACTCCACATCTGAGGTATAAATACACACGCGCAAATGCCACCCAGGACACCAAAGTGGTTGAGTTCTGAAGTAGATGGTTGTGTCCACCTCCTCTTAGGTCTTTTTCTTCACCGCGGGTATCAGGGAAGGGCAATCGGGCCAAGGTTAATTCCATGGCCCTGGCGTGGTTCAAGACCACATTCTGGGACCCTTAACAAAACAACTAAAGTGTCATCATTTTGAATACGCTTCGCTCACTTCGCTCAAATCTAGAAGATTCACATTAGTATTTTCGCCTCCCATGCACAAACTCAATTATGAATTTGATTGTTTTGTAAAGGTAAGGCGTTTTACAAAGACTTAGGGCAAAAATTAAGACACGTAGATTGAAATTCTGTTGAAGTGCTCGGATAGGTCATCTACAAAGTGGGTAGTAATTGAAAGTTGTAAGAGCTGCAACTACTCAAACACAGAAAACGACCTTGACAGTTATCGATTGCGTGATTTGAATTCTAAGGTTGCGTATTAGCAGGCAAGATATTATTTAAACTGAAATTGTACCCGATTTGGAGAAATTAAATTATTTTGCATTTATACAAGTTTACTAAATTACGCTAAAGTTAATTTAAAGGAGTAGGTTAAATTGATGATAATGGCGAACTAATAGCCTCGAATTAAGAAAATCCTTGACGGAAAATCATTAGCCAAGTAGCGCGTGATGCCTGGTCGTCTTCGTGAGATAGTTGAGGCTTTTCGACGTGGTTGCAAGTTGAGAACAAGACAAGACTGGACAAAAATGTGCCAGACAAGCGTCAAAGTTTGAGGCCGGTGAGTCAAGAGGTAGAACCTGAGTGAAATAGGAGAGAGAGGTTTTGAACCTTAATTGGGGCTAGTAAACGTGGAAGAAGAATTGCGGATGGACAGATCGTCACCGGGAGGCTACTGTAAACCGACTGTCGTCAGTCAGTGATTAGGCGGCGTCCAGAGATAATTTAGACTAGCAGTGAATGATGAAGCCCCACTGTAGAGAGTGGAAGCCAGGTTGTGTGAATAACCAGAATCGGAGTCTAGAATCGGGCGTGGTCGATGAGGAACGATAAGGCGCCGAGATTTGAAAGGGGGCTGAAAGGCTTGGGGCTTGACTTTTCCACTAGGGCGTGGAACACACCAACTTCCAGCTTGAGGAAGGTGGAAATGCATTCACGAAATATCCAAAGAAATGGGAAGTGAGTGACTTAACCGTTTATTCGATGTCTAAACGAGGTTGAGTGGGGACGAGTGCCGTGACTAACGTGTTTTTATTGACTGATACAGCCTGAGTGACGTCTGAATGACTAGGTGGATAAAGCCGGTGGTGGTGGTGGTGGTGGTGGTGGTGATGGTACAGGCATAGGGGCGAATGAACAGACAATCCAGCATGACTGACGAACACGCCGCTTAAATGGGGTCAGGGTGTCTGAAACCAAATCAGTGGACGTTAAATCAACACAATACACTACATACGCATCAAGTCTTCTACATTATCGACTTAGGTGCCTCGTTTTCTTTCATTTATGCATAAATCCAACTGCCTAACTCAGAGGTAAGCACAAACTACTGCTAGAATAAGTAGCATCTACAATTCCTGGTTCACTTTCTAATCCTCAAAATGATTAATTTCAGACACTGAAGCAAATGTTCATCTTGTTTGGCTAAATCTTGCCACCAGCATCGCCTCGAGTAAGGCGAGGAGCTGCCCACACAAAACAAAATAAATGGACGCATTTTCTGGAAGATTTATTTCAAAAACTGGGCCTCATTTACTTTTAAACCTTCTGGGGAATGGATTTTCAGGTCTAATTCCCCTAAATTTTCACTTGAAATTGAAAATTTCATGTGATCTTTCGAAGGAGAGATTAAGTAAGTTAACAATGGTCAAAATTTGGAGATCGGAAGAGCATATTTACTAATTTTTACGTGTTTTGCATAGAATGCTCGAGGCAAAATGTACCTGCGTCTTTTAATTTTACATTTTATTGACGCGAACGTTTATCGTACCGATACAACAGGCCTTTGCAACCAATGCTTCGAAATGAGGCTAAACTGTAAATTACCCGTATTCAAAGACACAAAGGCTTCTTGGAAAAAAGAAAGTACTGGTTACTAACAAGATTTCAGTAAAAAGGTTTTTTGCACTGCACAAACGACTCAGGTGATGTCACGGCCATTTTTCTCGCCATCTGCTGCTGCACAGGACACAAATATATCACAGGCCTTCTTGTGTCGTGGCCAATGCTTGACCTGGCACTCCCTTCGACAGTACCACTCCTGGCGACATCGAGAACACCTTTTGGTGGCGATTTCGCCGCACTCCACGCACCGCGGCGGTGGCAGGAGGGGGTGCTCGAAGGTGTCGCCGGTGGCGTCGGCGCCGAACAGGGCGTTCACGTTGTCCTCGGTGAAGGCGTCGGCCCACTTCGAGGCCGCGCGCTTCGCCGACTCCCGACCCGCCTCGGACTGAATGCGCTGCATAAACTCACTCGCCACCTCCTTCCACTTGCCTCGGTACCTTCAAGGAGGATCAGTAGTGATGGTGGGTTCAATTACTACGATCACTTCAATGCACGACTGCTATTCTTATTGGGCTGTTCTAAGACAAGTATTTTACACCTCGCATTTCAGACCAATGCGGTAAGTATATCATGTCGACATCATACCTATGTGCTGTCTCATCTACGCAGGTACAGGTCGTCAAGTTTCTAGGTCAAGGTCATTCGAGGCCCATATAAGCTGTGCATTCGAATTTTGCTGGCTTTAGTCATGTCTTAGTGTTGGATAAGTCTTCAAGTGGCTTGGAATTATGCATGTGTGTAACAGTAGTTGTGACATTCAATCCCTTAATAACAAAGTTATTATCCTTACAAGAAGTGTGCTCAAGACGAAGCTGATTGGTTAAAATAAAGTCGCCATTTTAAGCCACTTCTAACCATTTTAATAGCTCTAGCACCATCTAAATGAGCAGGTTGCAGTTCCAACAATCATTTTTCTTCAATTGAAAGTACTCAAACAGAAAAAAAAGAAACTCAGCGTAAAAAAGTTTTGATACTAAAATGCTTTGCCACACTCTAATCAAGTCGTGACTGAATTTTTTTCGTTTTCGGTGTATGAAAGGGTTGCGTTATTGAATGAAGACGCCGATGACTTACTTCTGTTGAATGCCCTCGTAGATGTCTGCTATGACTTCAACGTGGCAGAGCTGGGCAACAGCTGACGCACTTGCAGAGTGTCCTTTCACTGCCTGTCCACGACTGGCAAGCGCTGAACCCTCGCAGACGGCGAATTCTTCCAGGAAACGCCGCAGTTCGCCCAACACGGGAATCACGTCGATGCAAACCTCGGTTAAATGCGGTCGCAGACGCAGAAGCGCCTGCTTCCTGTGGCTAGCTGTCAAGTCGTAGTTCACTGAGGGGATTAGGTTTGAGAAGAGCAGCTGGTAGATTGAAAGCCACACCTAAAATGAAGGGGTTTGAGACGCCTGAGGTTAGCCGAGCTCGTAAATGACCTCGAACGTGATCTGGAACTATGAAAAACGGTGATTTGAAATAATGTGCTTTCCAGCCAAGAGAGAACACAGGAATCAAGGGCATTTTCGACTTATGGTGGTTACTTGATCTTTCAAAACTTGTTGGCATAGATGAAAGTTCTAGTGTTCGATGGAAAGCAGCACGCGCAAGAACCACAAAGATGTGCACTTCAGGTGAATTGTAAAAACATCAACATTTACCACACAATAAAACTACGGGTTGTGTTGTTTCCTGTCATTTAAAATGGGAAATGGGAATTGTGAGCAGCAACAATTAGCGATGCATCAAGTACACTACAAAACGCCTAGAAATATGGGGGCCTTACTTGGCCTTCAGTTTTGGTCAAAACAGTCCAGTTCTTGTCATCCGTCTCAGCAATCCAACAGCCCGACTCATGCCACTGGTACTTGACGAGGCGGGCGTAACAGTCCTTCTTCGGCGCTGCCGCGCAATTCCAGGGTGCCAAGTCGATGAGGTGGCAGAGGAGGATGAGGAAGTCGTGGGTGTGGAGAAGTCGGCGACCCACACTGAGAGGCAGGGTTGACCCGGACACTGAGGCCGAGTAACTGCTGCAGCTGTGGTCAATCAGGTGGCGAGACAAGGAAACTGCCTTCATGCCTATTTCGTATGTCAGTATTTTTGCCTGACGGCACAATTCCGCCTCATTGGTTTCCGATGAATTCGGCTGTCGGGAAGAGCCCAGATACACACTGGTTTGTTAGAAAAGAATTTGATCCAAACGCTTGATACCGTTTGCTGGCCCCAGAAAACCAAAATTTGCTAAACACGGCTTATTGAAATGCCCTATTTTTGTCAATGCGTTTTGTACATAAGCCCAGAGAAATTGCCTACATGATACCGAATGTGTAACATTTTCGAGCATTTTTAATCGACAATCAATTAAGAAAACATTCATTTATTGTTCCTATTTTTTTTTTTCAAAAGTCATTTCCAAGTATAACAGGTAACGTGTTTTCTGCTTAAGAGAAACTTCAACTAACTATAGTAAAATCACACAAAAGTTTTACAAATCAATTTTTTAAATAGAAATTATTAAACTATTTTTTTACAAAATTGACACGAACTTGGTCCTTAAGGCTGTGAAGTTCCGCTTTCTTTTCCTCACTAGAAGTAGCAGCAACAAGACGACAGAGGGCTCTGTGACACCAATCACACAAGTCCACCGCATCATCACGTAAGCTATCCACAACGTCCATATGATAGGCCACTGTTTCTAGCAAGTTTGACAATATCAACTCGTGGTACAGTATGACGTAGATAGGAAACGTAGGTACATCATTCGACAGGCTTTTTAGCAGTCGTTTGAAAATCTTTTGTCGCCATAATTCGGAAGACACTAGGTCACGGATGAGGAAACCGACCTTCTGATGAGAAATAATGAATTCCTTTACAAACTCGTCTGATCTCGCTCTGGCTGATACGACAGCCTACAGAGCAATTAAGCAATCAGTTTGAATTACTTGCATATTTAATTTGTCCAAATACGTATGCTGTTTATACCAATGTTCGCTTCCATATGTTTCATAATCCAGGTCTGCAAGTGATGCAACTAATGCCTCTGCCTCCGCAGGAAATACAATATACTAAAATGACAGAAAAGCAGTTGATACAGCCTTGATCCACAAATGTTGCAACACGCAAGTACTTACAAACTGGAAATATTCTCATAGGTTCAAATTTCCGGAATTAATAATTTTGTTTCTACTAAAATCACTAACAAATGAGGAAGGGCTCTATTACTAGAGACACAAAAATATTTTGAAAACCTAACAAAACGAGGCTTTTGAGTTTATCTTTTAGAATGCAGTATTGTGTTAATATTTCAATTGAAAATTGCTCATATATTCTTTTACGACAGAATCATTCCGGCGCACTAATCAGAACCAGAGTCAGACAAAACTGTGAGACTAATACACGTTTGTTTTTGTTTATGTATTAATTAATAATTTTTTTTCAAACAGAAATTATTGTCAAATGGACAAGCATCACAGACTGGTGGAAAAAAGTCAATGCTAGTTATTTTCTCATGTGCGCCACAAACACAACTATAAACATTAGCTGTCATACTCTCAAACAGACTTTAAATACACACAGTAAATTAGGCATAAAAATAGACTTTCAAAATGCTAAAAATAGAATTTGATCAGTGGAAACCAATTAGCAAATTCTAAGTAATTAAATCCACTTGACCAGACACCAACTTAAGTTATTTTCCGTCAATTTATATTAGTCTACCTATACATATAACAAGTGACTTTCCACAAAAGAATAAGATGCTAAACATAATTAGCAATATTCCAGGATAAAATATGTCATTTTTAAAAAATACATTTCCCTGTCTCGAAGCACCTCAAAACATTGCAACCTACATGTCGCCACAATATGAACAGGATAGAAAAGTATCGAAATAAAGTTTTTAAGAATTGCATACTCTAAACTCGTCCCCCATAAAAATTTCAAATTATTAAGAGTATCGAAACGATAGCAGCACATAAATATTTAATAAATATAAACAAATGATTTAAAGGGACTTTTCTAAGTCTTATGCAGCACAAGACATTTTCAAATTATTCCTAGGAGATATGCAAAACATTTATAATTATCACTATAAAGTATCTTAGAAGAAATTTGAAATGCGTTTAACTTTCATTGTTGTGCAATTATATATTTCACAGCTTGCAGTAAAAAGCATACTTTACTTAAAAAAGGAAAAAAAAGTCACAGGTAAGCTATGCAATTTTCTTTTTATTGCGCCGTTACGACACAGGTTTTCATCTTTTAAATATTGGGCATTGTAAGAGGTCAGCGTCCCTGTTTGGCAGAGATAGGAAAAATTGGAAAAATTATGTCACGCAAATCGTCCTGTACATCAATGAAATGCTGGAATTATTTACTATTTCGCCAGACGTGGACAATTTTAAATATGATAACTTATTTATTTATTTTACATGTGATTGCTCGCAGTTGCGGGTTTTAATTTCTTTAGGATGTTAAGAAAATGTGTCTTTAAATAAAAATTGTAAGCAATGTAAAGAGGTTTCTCTGATGTGAAGTCATCAGATATTAATGATGGATTATACACAAATCCGTTGTTTTAAAAATGGTCAATCATTTGTCAGAAATAAAAGGCGTTTTTCCTTTTTGTGATACATTGTGCATAATACTTGCTTTCGCCCCCGAAACGCAAAATTGATTTTATCGTATAAGTAATTTCTTGATATAATATGCTTGATTATAATAAATAGGAGCGAAATTGTAGGTAAATGGCAGTCATGGGTGGCAAATTTTAAATTTTTTATGTTTCAAATAGGTAGTTGGGTGTAGGGTCAAAGTATTAACATTCTTTAACTTTTTTCTTTTTGTTACATTAATTCTTTAAAAAAATTATATTAGCGCACAAGCGCTATTGGTTACTTTCATATGTCAACTGTCTTTCACTTTGTAAGTTTGTCTCCTGCCCACTTTTTTTCATGAGCTTGGTTGCCCAAGGTGATTTTGACGAAGTTATTCCATCACTTAACGATGCCTTGATGCGACATGATTTTGAGCATTTGCGGGAAAAATTTTTTGCCGCTCTCTCTGCGGGAACTTACTCATCTTGGGATATGCTATCTTGGATACTTGGTCGAATTGATGATACAAGTATTACTCCTTCTTTAGAGCTGGAAATTTTTTTTAATGAGGCTGTTGAGTTGCTATCCGAGTCCCTAACTACGAAAGAATTTGTGCTGGTTCTTCTTGGAGAAATAGAATCCAGTCAGGGTCTTCGTGTGGTGACCTTTTCTCTTCCTTTCCTTGAAAAATGTGCTACTTCATTGGGACTTTCTGACTCATGTAAAGTGCTCCCTATTTTCACGTCTATTCGGTCTAAGCTCCATAGTTTTCTGTCACACATGTCCATGTCACGACGTTCAAATTCAGTCAAAATATTTTCTGATTTGACTTCGAGGCTGGGCACCTCTTTTGTGACCATCTTTACGTCTAACACGAAAAAAACTGATTTATCTTTGTATACAGAAGAACTGCTTTACTATTTTTCAGAAGCGTTATACTTTGTTAATACAACAGACGAATCGTTGCCGATTTTCCACAACTTCCTTCGTGTTCTGCATCTTTGCTCTGATGGACTCTACTCTCAATGTTATGAAATCTTCCGGCACGTTCTTGTAAATTCTGACATTGGTTCACCTCCCTCTAAGTTCACTGATGCCAACAGAGCTTGGTTACATGTCCTGGGTTTGTGCCTTACATCGGATTCTGAACGCCCTTATTGGCCTACCGTCCTAACCAAAAAACACCAATTAACTTTTTTTGTGTCTGTTTCATCTCCCTACGTCCAGAAAATTGCAGACACTCTAGCTAAAGGTTCTCCTTTATCTATCCTTCAAGTTAAAAGCCTAATTCGGACTCAGGAACATATTCTTTGCTTGGCTTCCAAGGTCCATGCGTGTCTCACCACTGATTGGTGGAGTCCTTTTCCTACGTCACTGATAAAAAACCTTGAGTCCATCTCGAAGCATCCCATATCCTCGGTAAAGCTTCCAGTAGAAGTAAAGAATTGCATTTCAGTCATTGAATCTCTTCTATCGGCTTCGTCGATCACTGCTCGTTGTCAGGTATTTTCCGGTCTTGTTAGCCGATCACTTGAACCATTCCACTGTGGAATTCGGGCTCATGTGATTACACTCTTTAAGGATTTTCTTCACAAGACATGGCTGAAGGTGCAGGATATTGGACTAGGTGCACTAATTCTTGAGGAACAGCACCTTGGTGAAGTCAATGTAACCCTGCCCTTTGATTCCTCCTACCTTCGCGCAATGTGCGACAGCATATTTCAGTATCCACTGCCAAACTGTGACAATTCTGTCTATGACCAATTCAGTTGGCTAATGGCAGCCCTTAATTTGGCTATCTACGTGAGCATTCGCACAAAATCCGTGTCAGCTGTGCCTTGTACCGATGAGGTTAAACAGATCGCTAGAAACGTAAGCCTTGCGTTCAGTCGTCCAGATGCTAAAGGAAAAAGCACGATGAGAACACACTTTCTTGACCCACTTGTCTCTGATGTTGTGTCCGTGTCCAATAGGTATAAGATGGCGGAGCGCGAATACGCCGAAAAGCCTGATCCCTCAACAATTGCTCCCGGCGCACCAAGCCTTCAAGAGTGCCAGATCAATTTACTCCGATTTCGATTGCTTATGGACACTATCTCCCGTGTTGGGGAATTCCCTGTTAACTAAGCATGGGGCAAATTAACAATAAAACTTGTTAACACATCTTTTGTGACAGCTCCGTTTTCATATACACAAACCCTGTGATGCTGGGGGCGTTTTTTGCACTTTAGTTCACATGATTACTTATTTTTTTAGTCTACCTGACTATGCTTCGACCTGGAGCATCTATCACAACGTAAGTGGCGATAAATACAGTGATCGCGTCATCACTCATCAGTTTTGTCCTAACTATGCTGTGTTATTTGTTCACGCAGTGGTTTGCGTCGAGCCCTGACTCTAGCCACATGCCTTCGTGGTGGACGACACCTCACAGTCTCATCGGTTCGGCGACCACACGGCGTGGCGCTCGCTCCATCCAAGTTCCTTCAACACATGTCAAGTAAGTCAAATATCGGTGAAAACGGAATCGCCTTCTCTTAGCCAACGTTTGCTAGCAAGCCACTGGTTTTAGTCCCAGTCAGTGGTAGGACTCGTTTTAGAAGTGACCAATACGGTGCCAATTACTCGGACTCATTTCAGCGTCAACGTCTGCCACCTCGAATGGCACATTTGCGTCCGCTGACACCTCCTCCTCCTCCTCGTCAGACAGCGATTCGGAATCTAACTACTACCACAACTTCACGGACGGCTCACTGGAGGAGGCGTGTGAACGCGCGTTAGAGGCGGCGATAAGTCAAGTGCCCTCGCACGGATGGACGCGTGAGGCATTTGAAGCTGCGTGCGCCGCCCTTGACCTTCCCCCAGGCTTGCACTCCGTCGCCATGCCGAAGGGCAGTGTGGACCTTGTGTTGTACTTCTACCAGTCGAGAAACGACAGACTCGCGGAGCAGCTCGCCAAGTGGCGAAAAGACGAGGCCGGTGACAAATACGTTATCCCGAGCCCGAACAGGTAAGGCTAGAAGTTGTTTCCTCATTGTTTTGCGATTATTTCCTACTTTACTTAAAATAATTCAGTAGTGTTTTGTCTTTTTTCAGCTTTGGTTTTGCCGCGCCACCACCGTTTGAAACGAAACAGGAAACCGATGCTTTTCTGCGTCGTGCCATCGAGTATCGTCTGCGCGCGATCGACGAAGTTCTTCCTCACTGGAAGCACGCGATGGGACTGTTGGCTCTGCCCCAAAACATTCCAGCCGCAATCGGCTTGGAGGCGCAAATTGTCGATGAGATATGGGCGCAAGCTGGCGACCGATCGGTTGATGTGAGTCGTCAAGCTAATTTTCAAAACCCTTTTTTCGTTGTCGTAGTTACGAAAGTGGCGATTGTGTAAAAAACAAAACTTTGACTGACATGCTGCTCATTTTGTGTTTTTGAGGGAAGGTAAAAGTCCAATTCCATTTCGCAATGCACTAGTTCTTAAATGGGTTCTTCTGTTTCGATAAAAAAAAGTCCCCTCGCTGAAATTCCACCAATTCAGCGCTTCCAGACTTAGTCGATGGTCTGCATCGGTCCCCACTTGAATTCCTTGTCGATTTTTTTTCCAAATCAACCTAGCTTACGAAACCCGCCTTAGAAATTTCGTAAGCACCATTTTGAGAGAGCCAGTTCCACGTGGAACGTGAATCGCCGATCTCCTGACCCTCGTTGAAGCCATAATGGAATAATGGAAAACGCAGACAAGTAAGGGCTTTATTTAGAAGACGGGCATGTCAACTTTCGCCTCGGCGTCGCCAACACTCTCGATCTCCTCGATGTGGAGGAGAGCGGTGAATATCTCAAGCAGTCTGACCACCTTGTCCAGACGTCTGTTTGAAGTCGCCTCCTCGGCGCCTTCGTCTCCTTCCTCGAAGTGCCCTCCCCTCGAGGTCCCCGCCACTGGCTGCTTGTGGAAGCTGGCGGCGGTGGTCCTCGACGTCGCGCTGATCAGAGTCTGCACCGCTAGCAGGATGAGGAGGGTGGGGTTCATTTCGCCTCTGGTTGTGTGTGCGTGTGTGGACTTATATACTCGCGAATGCTCTCATTCCTTCGACTGAGCCCATCACACAACTGGTTTTAGCGCGCAGTTTTAATTTACGTTCGTGACTGCACATTCGCGCTGCGGCGAATTGAACTAGCTTTTTTCCACCTTGTTGCCGTGAAACCATTTCGAAGACATTCGTTTATTTCTAACGGACTGCCAGGGACTGAAAAGAAAGGGATGCGCTTGCATTGTACCTATCTCTTCTCATTCTTTTCTGGTTTGTGCGTCTACGCGAATTCGGAAACCTTGTGGAGGGCCATTCGGTGTCGTTGCCATCTCAAACGCATATTATAGCCGCGTTTTTTAATTCCCGTGACACTGTTTCTTCACATAGGGCAACAGGAGCAGGTTAACGAAATGTGGTTTTGATGAAGTCAGTAGACAAGTGGCGTTCAACTCACATCTTGATTTGCGCAGTTTCATCTCTACGCACTAGCGGTCAGGTTCTGGGTGAAGATCTCCTTCTGAACCACGATTTACCAATGACAAATGTACTCCCGTTTACTTAAAAATCAATAACTCACCTACACTCACTCTTTCGTGACAGAAACAGGTCGAGGAACTTCTAGACGCTGTAGGGTCGACGGGAAACTCCTTGTTGCTCCTTCCTCAATGAAGTCTTAGCCGTGCGCTAGTCCATACTCTGGGGGTCGCCGTATCCCACGTTTGCGGTCCAAGTTGTCTCCTCTTTGGCCCGTTGTCCAGCAGCCACAATCCTGTAGTTGAAGTTCTGGGTCGATCCGAGCTATCTTAGTCCCCTTTTTAACCGATTCATTTGTCTTCTGCGCGCGCACAACCTCGTGACAAGCAAGCCTGCTCGGGGAACTGTTTTTTGTTGCGTTCAGACCCTTGCTACTTCACTTTTGCCGTGTGAAATGACTTGTTCATGTGCCTTACAAGGATTCTAGATTCTCTGCGAAGAGTGGTTTTGTTACTGTAAATGCCAATCACGTCACACGCGTCTTCGTGTATGCGTGTGACTGCAATTACCCCAGCTAGTGACTGACTACGAGCGATGCTCGACAACTCCCATTCGCTCCCTTGTGACAAATCTGTCATATATTTGCCCTCTCAATGAATTAAAATACTTCAGTGGTGACTATGTCGTTAAAAAAGCATTGCCGACTACTGGTGAACGCTCCAGTGGGTCTGTTTTTGCCAACCCAGAAAGCTCTGTGCTTCTCTAGTCGTTGCCTTTTCAATGTTTTCTTTTTAGATGAACTGGTACGCGAAGCGGCTGGGATTGGCCTACGTGTACAAATTGACAGAACTCTTCTACATCCAGGACGCCTCGCCTGATCACCAGGAGACGTGGCACTTCCTCGATCGTCGCGTGGCTGATCTACGTGCCTTGAAAGAAGCCAAGGTATGCTCTCCCGTTAATTGTCACTTGCAGCCGCTTCGTGCTCTGTTTCAACTGCACACGAAGCTCCCGCGATTGGCGTTTCACGGGGTGCCAAGCCAAAGTGTAAGGTAGCGCCTTTGGTTGCAAAGATATCGCCTTGGTTTAGGCTTAGCTGATCATGTGATTGTGCGTGGATAAAGTAACTTATTTTCTGCTCCGTTTGGTCGACATTTTCAAAGCCAATGGGGTCTTTCAGAGCTATTGAAAAACAAAACACCGCAAGTATCGGTTTTTCATCATCACCATCATCTCTTGTACATTTGTGGGCGTAAGTCTTCGTGCAGCTTCATGTGCAGCTACCACAATCTGGACACTAGTTATGCAAACTGGGTTATCGTATTGCCGTGCAATTTTGTCGTTCAAATGATGTCAACTTCCTGACACTCGCCTCCGATTCGATTCAAGGGATCCACTCAGTCACCAGCCAAAATCATGGTTCTAAGTGTGCGGTGTTTGCGCTGTTTATGGAATGAGGCCGTTTCACTCTGTTTACCTACCAATTACTGCGTCGTATGCTTTTCCCCATTGTTGAAACATTGGTCTCGTGGGATTTACGGGTCGCATTTCCCCGGAAATCCCCCCGTTTCCCTTTGGTGGTGTCCGGGTGTGGCCGGTAGGTATAATTCTGTTGCATTGCATCCCTCCAAGGTGTCAGGTGGATTCGGCAGTCGTAAATTTGGTGTCTGCGTGTAAAGGGGGAGGGTTTGTGTTGTTGTACGTGGTGCAGTGACTTCAAATAACGCCCAGCGCCTGCTGTTAGGACGCCAGCAATTGTCTGGACTTGTCAAGACGCCTTAGCGACAATGTTTACCCCATGAATTGCTAATGATCAAGTAGAGTGCATTGTCTAATGCATCGTGCTGGTGAATTGTGCGTCGGTCGTAAGATCGTCAAATGTAGTCGCAGTTTCCTCAATCTCTATCGTCTTAAGCGTTAGAATTACTTTTTTTTTCAACGATCAATCTCAAGCCCTTTTGGCTTACATTTGCACCGAACTATGCAAAATTCTAATTCAAGTCTCATCTGCCTGCCGTGTTTTTTTTCCGTCAGAAGCTGGGTGTTATTCGTGGTTTTTCAAACTGTCATACTTCAAGTATTTGTGCAACCCCCTGTGTCTTCAGTGTTTTACTGAACACGAACTGTTCCCCTTCGCCTGCAACCTCGTCAAAATGGTTTTGTTTGCCAGACTCTCCCCTAGCTGATATCACCTGATGATTTTGGCTTCGTTAGCTGCCAAAACTGCCACTCTTTTCTCGCCCAACAGCTGTTGCGATGTCTGCCTCGGCAGGAAAGGGCCAAAACTGGCGTTGCGATTGGGATTTCGTGTTTGTTTTGCTGGAAATTGTCCCTGCAATGCGAATTCAGAACTCACCTTGTGTGTACACGTCAAATCAGCGCTCTTGTCGGACACGAGACCACATTATTCACCATTGCTTCGTTGGTTTTTTTGCAATATGCCTTTAATGCCTAAGCTATTAACTCACGCCTAAGGCACATGGATGGTTTTTATGCTCCTGCAACGCTCCGCAATCACGCAAGCCCTCTTGTATCATCAAGTTCTGTACTTTACAACAGGATTTACACCCTGAAGTGCCTCGCACCGGCCTTCGCAGTCATTATTCAATCGAATTTAGGTCCAGGCACTATGTGCTCTTTTTTTGAGATAGTTTTAGTACGTAGCTTCTCGTTTTTGGCCATTTTATCCACACATTTGATGCAATTCGTTTTAACGCGGGTGCCATTTGATTGAACACATTCACGACAAGTTTGAAGCAGCAATTTACGCTTCTGATTGGTGCTTATTCACACTCGTTTGGTGTTTTGATTGGATAAATTTGGTGACGAAACATTGACTATTCTACAAAGAATTTTAACCTGGCAAACATGAAGTGTTTTATTTTAAGATTTTAAAGTGAAAAACGTCCGAGAGTAAGATACGGAGCGTCTGGCAGGTTTGTTTAAATCTAGTTTATTTCATTACTACGGACACCAGGACGTGTTGGCGTTGGTTTCACTGCAGTTTTTTTTTCAAATCCGCGACCAATCAAAAACCTGGAAGGTCGACCAAAACCACCAGGTTATTGTGCTAACTGAAACCGTAAATAATTCAACAATTTATGCCAAATTGTAAAATTTTTGGGTCTACGGTACGCGATGTTTGAACTATGGGAACAAACGGTTTTCCCATCAATTTCTACGTGTCAACAAAGACTGGTGTTGACCGTGGTGCGTTGTTATCCAGTTCAGCCCCTTTAGTGATGATCCACATTTGGCTAACACCAAGCCGCGCATCGTTGACACCTACGCTGAAGATTGGGCTTCACGCTGTGCGGTGTGATTTAACCCGAGCGCCAACGCGTCCTAGCTTGGTGAAGTGAAAAATCGCCGTGTTTTTAAAACGCCCAACGGTGAATCATCGAAGTGTTATAATTCTTCAACGTGTTGTCACTGGGAGTGACTGCTTCCTGCGTTCACCCATCGCACCGATGGATTATTTGTTTCGTGGGCAAACCTTGGCAATGTGGTGACTCCCAAAACTGCACGCGAAGGGCACTTTACATTGAACCACGCACGTCGCAAACGGAGAGTCACAAACGGAGACTTGTTGTCCATTCCACCATCACACCTTCAAGTCAAATCCGCAAGCCAAAGTTCCTACAGCAAGTCGGTTATTTGATCTTCTCCATGGAGCTTCCAGCGCCGTCCGAGGGTCCACGAATGTACCACTCGAGATATCCTTCCTCACCAGCTGAAACTGTCGCAACTAATTGAACCTCGAGGAGACGACGACTGTCCCTCCACGGCCTTTGAATAATCACAGCACACGACTGGTTATCGGCCAGTGTGTGTAAAGTTGGCTCGCTTAGGATGGTTTCGTTGACGCTGCGGACTTCTCAACTGCAGGCGACGATTGTTCCTTGCCCAAGCCTCTCAAACGTCTAACCTTGCTTTTGTTTTTTTCCAGCTCAAAGGAATCTCCAGTATGCTGCGAGAGGGCTTGTTCGCTGCTGGTCACGTTGTAAGTCCCCCTCATTTTGTTAAGACACGAATTTCCTGAGCCACGTTGGAGCAAGCAGCTCAAGTTATGCTTCCCCTATTCACAAATCATTGTCTGTGGATAAAATTGTACTTTTTTTTAATAGAAAACAAAAATGAAAGAAGGTCTCCCAACTATCTGAACTTTTCAAATTAGCATCCTTTACGGCATCTGCTCTCCAATCACGCTTTATTTCTTCTAAATTTAATAATAATATAGTAAATTGTAAGTGGCTACCCTGTATCGTGGATCTGAGGTACACCACGCTTTTTGAAATTCCGCCATTACAAGTTGAAGTGATCTCTACAGATCTCTGCCGAATTGTAGCCGTCCCTTCCGCTCTAAAGTTCCTCCTACGTGTTTCTCCTTTCAGACATCGAACATCCTTGGATGGAATTGCAAAGGCTGCTAATTGTCGCTGGTGCTGTCCGTGGTGCTTTCCTGTTTCGTAGGGAGTCTTATTTTACTTGCTCTGTTGCCTACTCAGGGTACACACCTCTGTAGGGGTTACCCCTTGTAAACTTGTAACAAAATAGCAAATTGTTCTTGTCTCTTGTGTCTTTTTGTGTCTTTGACTGATTGCGGCGACTTGGTGGTTTGTCTGTTAGTTTTTTTTCTTATTTAAGTATGCTTAGTAATCGATTGTAAAAGAGCAGTTATAAGTTGCTTAAATCACTTTAGTAATGCCCCTTTTAGGGGAATTTAGTTTCTTGTTGGTAAGGCCACTTGTAGGTGATGAATTTCGAGAGTCCATCGATTGGCGGCACTCTCAAGGCACAATGCTGAAGACTGTTAATTCTAGTTTCTAAGGTGATAAAGCAGACACAGGTTTTACTAGAGTCTACGAGTAAACTGGATTGAAGCCGTTGTGTGCCTCTTACTGGCTGCATGGATATATGTTTTTAGACCCACGCCTATGGTACACTGGTTCCGCAGCAGTGCGTGGGATCCTGTCCTCTTGATAAGTCAGATAATCTTCATGCAGTGCCTCTTCTACGGCACCACAGGAGCACTGTGCGCCCTCTTCAGTCCCATCTCGAGGTGGCACACCAGCCTCCGACTCCTGTTGGACGACAGTGAGTTGCGTTTTCGTGACCTTCAAGGGCGCTGCCTGATCTCCGTTTTCCTGGTGGCCGCTGTACTATGCGCCCTCGGTCTGTGGCGCATCGTCCGACGCACCAAACTTTGTCTGGACTTTACCTGCACCCTGTACTTTTGGCATTTCATATTCTGCACCATCTACACCTCCTCGTTCCCCGTGTCTGTCGCTTGGTGGCTCACTGTAACCGTCTCTATCATCTTGATGACACTGATGGGTGAATTCCTGTGTATGCGGACAGAAATGCAGGCGATCCCGCTTGGGGATGCTGCCAGAAGTGTTGTTTAGTCCTCTTTCCTACCTGTGCCGATTTCTCTAATGTCTTTCCTTACAAGATGATACCTGCAGAATCCAAATGTATGCTTCCTACGCCTTGAGTTATTTCAGTGTCTGTGAGTGCTTGTTGTGGCAGAAGAACGGGGATTTTGTGGGTGTAGCATCGCAGTGATGCTAATTTCTGACGAGGATTCCTGTGCTGGGTGTTTACTGGCTTCCAAAAACTGCACTTATCGCTTTCGCTATGTCGTAAACATTCCTGTCTGTCCTCCTCTAAGACGCTACTCTAGTCGTCTGTGTATAGGCTACTTCCGGCGTCACTCTGCAAAGCGCCCTGTTCTTGCGTCATGAGACGCGGCTGCTTTACTCGGTCGTATTCAGCATCAATTAGCTAAATCCCTCTGGGCTCGTATTCGTTTAGCCCGTAGCGGTTGCTCGCGATTCATTTAACAGCCAGTCGGATAATCAATAAGGATGTAAGAACGAAAATGATGTCCCGTATTTATTAGAGTACACAGTTTAGTAGTAAAGACGTAAATCCAGCAGCATCTCCGTAGACCAGATTTTGCAGCTTTACCCTAAGGTGGATTGAGCCATTTCATCGTAAACAACGAGGGGGGGATGCCTTTCATTGCCCCGAAACTGCGGCTGGTATTTGCGCGGTTTGCAATTAACATAGGGGGTCAGTGATAAAGGCCAATGCGCATGATCTTTTCGGGGAATCGCACATTAACAGCCCTGTGTGCGCTAATCGAATTACCTGATGCTGGTGGGGTTTTTGTGTGTGTGTGCTCTAACTCATTCATCAAACTGGTGGATGTAGCTTGGAAGTCACGTAGCTGGAATGCCTTTTAGCGACGTTGCCCAATTTGGGTGAGTTATTTGGGCATGTGGAATTAGGATTAACCAACACACCAAGAATGCAAATAAGCTGCTAAAGTGCACGTTCCCCAGGTCTTTTGCCAGCGAAATACAAGTGGGAAGGATTTTCAAGCATCAAAAGGGTCTCGAACCCACGTCGATCAATTGACTTGTTTTAGCGCGATGAGGTACCAGGTACTCAGAGAAGAGAAACTCGGGCGGTTCATCCTTTCATCGAGCTGCTTCGTCCGTTGTCATGGTTCAAGCGTATCTACATGTCAGTCCCGCTTGAGAATCATCCTCTTCTAATAAGCAATGAGTAAATTCACTGATTGTCATTACTCTTGCTCTCCAACTATTGCTGGATTAATTAGTGAGCACGAGTTATCTTGCTTTTATGCTGCAAGTAACCGAATCGATTTTGCATGACACGTGGTGGCGGTAGTGGGTTGACTCTTGTGATTTCCAAATTTATGATTCCTACACGTGAAAGAGAAATATTAGATTCCACATTAGAACACGCTTTTGCCTTCTAGGTCTTTTTTTACTACAGGCAACCCTAACATCATGATTCAAAAGTGATTTTCATTAACTTTGAACATTTCAATAGGTTGTGGTAGAAGATTTGCCTGAAATCGCATGCATCGCACTGTTCGTGTGGTGATGACAAGCCACAATTATTTACGATGTGCTCACAACATCCAATTTCCTCAAAGTTTTGTGGTTTTCTAAATACTGTATTGGCAGGTTGGATTTTGTCGTGGGGTTAACGAAATAACATGCATTGTGCTATATTTTTCACTTACTGAGCCCTAGTTTGATAAGACAGTATCGATTAAATTCGGTGACCTTGCGAACAGCTGATAGGAAGTTGCACATTCGTTGTGGGCTGAGCCAATGAAATGTAGACGAGGGCGATTTAAATGTGCCAAATGATCTGTACTTCAAGGTCAAACGTAAGATGCGTATTTAAACAATCACTTTCGAGGTTTTGGGACACTGTCTCCCCAAATAAGGAAGTCCTGTTTAAATAAAAACGCGACCGATATCCACGACAAGTGCGGAGTTAACTGTGACATTTTTGCGTGTCCGAAAACATTTATGAGATGAGAGTCGTGAACTGCCTCTTCAGTCACGCTCTTTTAGTGGTTTAGTCGCCGCACGAAACCTATCAACTAGCCTAATAAATGAATCCAAAATGGCAATACCATAAACCAGGCAAAGACACTTGGAAGTTGATTTAAAATGTTGCCAAATAAATTGCCTTTGAGTGACAGAGTTCATGTATTCGGCTTCCACGATTTAGCCCCGTGTATAATAATTTCAAAAAAACTTCTCTTCCTTGAGAGCTAAATTCATTTGAGAAATAACTTAATCATGAACTTTATTTATCACAGCCCACTTCCGGGATTTAGTAAATCATGTTTTTTTATTTATTTTTCAGCAAGCACGATAATTTGATTCCTAATCTTCTAACTTCTATCGAATGTGCCTGACTATGGAGTCAGCCAACATTGAAATCGGCAGCTTTCGGATGCCTTGTGTTGGCCCGAATTCATGACTGGGTGAATAAACAAATCCTTATCAATCACCGTGTTTAAACACAACAAAACTCTAGGGCAAAGTTGCTGTTTAAGTTGATTTTGTCAGGTTGACATTTGGCCGTCAAAATATCAAGTCATCTTGACACTCAACAGTTCGCTTGTCTGTCAATAATCACTTTGATTTAACACAACTGATTTAATGTTTTTGTGCAGAAGGAGATGCGAACGGGAGGTATGTGTGTGCACGAGATTATCAGCACCATAAAGACTGTCTTTTTAAAAGAAAACATTTCCTCGGAACGTAAATAATTCACAGTCAAAACTATTGTAATGAACGTCAAATATGATTGGTTGTTTAGCTTAGCCTATTAAATTCCGCGCTCTTAGTGGATTGATCTTCGCACAACTTGTGCATTTGATTTATGAGCTCATTCTACAGTCGTTTTATAGCTTCCTGGATGCCCTTTCATTCACCACCCACCTGGAATGACTAATAGCTGCATTTTTTCCGAATTGCTACATAACCCAGATCAGTGAACTGTTAACTTTAATTGTTGCAAAGGCATGCCTTTTACTTAACCATTTAATTATCCAAATATTCGTGATTGTGATTACTGCACCCAGTATTACCGGACTTAAACTACTTTCGTGTTGTTTAAATTGATTTTCTTGACAATGCTAACAAGTAAAAATGAAATGCATGTCAAATCTCAATGCGTTGGACGGTGAAACAGTTACCTGGACAAATTGGCCGTTGTCTTCTGGAGTCTTCCAAAAATCTCTTTAGGACTCTTTGGGAGTCAAACCCTTTTGATGGTCGGTGCGAGGGTAAATTACGGCTGTTTGTGCTGTACTGTTTAGACCGACGACTGTGCAAAATTGTAGCAAACAGAGTGGCGATAGTAGAGGTATCATCCGGCCCAGTGCTAATCACAGGCCATAAAATGAAATGTATGGTTTTTGCAGCGCATCGCTATGCACGCGTTTATGGCATTTAAGAAGAAAGAATAAGTGGCAACCCCACAACTGATCTGTCAAGCTATCATCTATCCCGGAGTTGAGATCGCGTTTGTGGGCGCTGTGTTTCGGATCAAATGATCCAAATAATCACGGTTCATATGAAAAGGATCAAAGAGATTGGCAAGAAAGAAGGAAACACAAGTGGTTTGCTTTGTTTTGCAGCATTGGGCGGTATGCTTGGCTAAATATCCGTGGTTATTGGCAAAGAAAGGCAACTGAGTGCGGAACCTCGTGTTTTTAAGAAAAAACTTACGAGTCACTGGTAAAGCTAAAACAAGCCCATTCATTTGCATGTTGTATACCTCTTTTTTGTACATGTACGAACTCATTTGAAGAAAAGGGTACTTCTACTGTTGATTACAAACATCCGTGCCTCAATTTTAAACAATGGCCGAATCTTGTACACTTTTAATCATATTTTTCACTAGTAGTTATTGTAATGCGTCATCGATCAAACTACTCCCTTGCGGTCACACATTAACTGCAGGGTTGCACCTTCTGCAACTCACCCAAACAAAACTTGCAAATATGGTCATTTGAAGTGGCATCGGTTTTCTAATCAGACGACAAGTCACTTAACAGGCAAAATAAATTTCTTAGCACCTCCCGCATTTAACTGGTCTAGCTCTTACATGTTTTTACTTGTTTCGCTTCCTGATAAGTAATCTCAGTAGCAAGAAATGATAGCCTTAAGATTTTATTTGCGTAGACACCACATCGTTACTACAAGGAAAGAAATTCCATAACTCATGAGCTTGAATCATTATGTATATTCTACTGGTTTGCTTGAACCACCTTCTTATGTTAATCCCTTGGTGAAGGGATTTAATATTGGTCAAATAAAATGTTACCTTTTGACAAGTACTCATTTATGTCATACAATTGTCCCAGTCAGATTGAAGTGGGGGAGAGTGGAAGTTTTGGTAACCCAAAGAGTTAAATGAGGTATAAACATCACAGTTGAAAAGCGTAAAATGATCTGTCATTAATTTTAGGTATGCCCAGTCCAGTAATCAGTTATTTTCTACTCATGTACATGCGGTGGTCAGCGCACGAACATTTTTGTCAAGCGTGAACAATCGTTCAGCTATCGTAACCAGGCGTTCCTATAAAAATGAACACATTTTCTAGCTAAATTTTATTCTCTTCACATCCGTCGTTTTTGGCGCCTTTTTTCATGCTGTATTTAGCCCCAATAAACACTTTAACTGAACCAATATCAGCCCAAAATAAATTCCTCACTGTGTTCAATAACCACTCAAACTATGCAAGTTTAAAGGTGCCTAAACGTACAGACCTTGGGTATTTTCTTCCTAAAATGACATTTTGCGTGGAGTTGGTTTTTGATCTACCGAAGCATAATATACTCTTAATGATAAATGCTTCTACATACGCATTAGCAGAGGCCAACTTTCTTGCGATTTTTTACGATGTTTTCATTCATTAATGCTTGTTAATTTAGTATTATATCGGGCCTTGGGAGTTGGTGGACGTGGCAGTTGGCGTGCGATATCAGCGTGCATTTTTTGTTCTTTGTGGGGGGGGGGGATTATAAACTGCACGTACACATCCACAACAAGCCTTGATCAAATTCTAAACAAAATGGCTTCACACGTCACTTTTAACCAACTAAACGGGGTTGAGACTGGTGACAGAAGCGTACACAGATGGGGAAACGACATGAACGCTAATTCAAGTTCCATTGCAGGGAATTACTTACGGTGACTTATGACTCAGACAACGATTTGCGTCCAGCATTGAAAACAAAGCAATTATAAGAATGAACTTTGGGCCTTCTTACGGTCGACAAATTGGGCTGTAAGCGGGTACCTAGACCAATTGACTTGTGTTCGGGCGGCAAATCAGATATTTGTTCTCTTGGTGGAATAGATTGGTGGTCTAAGGCATGTGGAAAACGAACGCCAGAGGGGCTGCCAATGATTAGATTTGACTGAATTAGGGGATGAAAGCTGTTTAAAAGGCGTAATTAGGACTCTTTATCAGCGTGGGCGGAATAAGACAGTGGAAGGATATTGTACATCTGGTGGAATAATATACAAACCACAACAGATGTCCATTGAACGCTTGGCAATCGTGCTTTAATTACACACACAAGCCCCCCTGCCTATTTCACTTCAATGGAGCGAAAATTTAAAACTTGATGGAATTGTTTTAATGAAAAAACTCAGTAAAGAACGCGCTAACACGGTTATGAACACAAATTTCTAACCATTGAGGTTAAGAATTGATTTGAACGCACCTAACAGACTTCTTTTTGTGTAGATCGACGGCAGTATCACCAACAATTTCAGAAACTAGTTTTAACTGTTTTTCTTTCTATCAAGATGGTTGCGACACTTCTAGAGTTAAGCTAGTCTGTGGGTGTGTCTAATAACCCTTCAGCTAGAATCAGAAATTTAAAAAATCAACCATTTTTGTCGCTTAATTTGTCCACTGCACTTTGGCCGTTTGAATAACAAAGTAGGCGTACAACAGAACATCCGCAACAGGGCTACGGGTCCACCAATGAGCTCATCTAGACATTTTTGACACTATGTCAACAGAGAAGAGATGTGCAAACTAGAAGATGGCTCTATCTTCCAGGGCATCACAGGTATCAGGTGAAATACCCATTTGGAGCATCGATCTGTTCAACCGCTAGAATGATTTAAAGCGTACGCATTGACGCAGAGTTAAACAATCGAACTAGACGCATAAGCTTACAAACTAGGCAATTCCAAACGACTACAAGTTAAAATTCGTTGAAAATATGCATTTACATAGCTCTGCGATTCCGTTTTTTATTATTTAATGTACAATATATGTGTATATAAATATGCGTGGTCCCGCCAGTATAACGTCTGTTCTTGATATACCATTACTCACTGGTTTCCAAAATACATATGAAAATATGGACGATAAAGACACCAGGAATACACGCCGCAATTGGACGCGTAGCTCCATTCATTGCACATTGTCCAGCCAACTGTGGAATGTATCTGCTGCTGCTTGTGCGGACTGCGTTTTGGGCGCTTAAAGGTAGGTCGTAGAAAAAGGGGCGTTGGCGCGGGATGGCTTGAAGGTGGCAGTGAAGGCATCTCTTCGGTTCCCTCGGACGCTGAAAAGAATAGACTTAGGTGAATCAATTGCTTGACAAATTTTCGGATTTCCTAACGTGATTTGCCGAGAGTTGTGTCAGTGGTAAGTTAGCAGAATAGCCGCAACTCGTGTTCAATTCAAAATTGTCAAATATTAAATGGAAAACTGTCTTATCAACGTACCAGCTTGCTACTCAGGGAACTCTTTCAGATTCTGAAGTACGCATTATCGTTCGGTGGTAAAAACCGAGGCGACTGAATTGAGTGGTGTTGGCTGATTTTTGAGACGACCAAGTCGCAGGGTGACGATGCCTTGAGCAGTCTAACACGGAAGGAATAACGATAATATAAAGCTAACAACTTCACAAATATTCGTTAAATGCTTTCCTTTGAAACTACCCTACTTTTTGCATTGCTGAGGGCTGCATGTTAGAGAAATGCTTTGGCTACTAATTAAAGAACTACAGCCTAAGTTGTGCGCACGACTGATGGCTATCTTTCGCAATTTGCAATTGCTAAAAGGCGTGCATGAAAGCAAATACGAACAAATTTGTGCTCCACTGCGCAAAGCCCCATTCACGTGACTGTCGAAGAAATCTGCGTTGGAGAAGGGATGTAACAGCAACCCCGACGCACTAGTTTATGTGAAGAATTGTGCTGGCTCAATGCTCAGTTTACGAATATCAAGAAATCTTGGTTAGGCACTTGGCAATGCCCCAAGGTTAACGCACAGTCATCCTTTTTTGTAAATCACTGTTAATTGTGCCAAGTGAGCAAGCCCGCGTGTAATTTAGGCTCCCGTGAGAGTCGATTTAGAATTTCCTTAAGACATGAAAAAGTACGATTGTCCAGAGCAGTCTCCTTTGTATGTTTCTTTATCTTCATTTCCGTGGTCAGTTGGAACCTCAACAGCTATCATCTAGGAAGTTTCCTAATTGAACAACTCTTAAATGCCCATGTGATGCTGGACAATAGTAAAATTTGAAAAGAATTAGGAAAAAAACGATTCCTATTTTATCTCCTTTATAGACATCTCATTGACATTGGTTGCAGTAGCCATTGTTTTCGTCCACGAAAGGCTCATTCATTGCCACGTGACGAAATTTACCTGATTGCAATCTTTTTGGCTATTTAAGGCACACGAGCCAATGCCCACACCTGTAGGACGTCTTTAGACTATATTTAGCCAATGATTTAATCACAAACAAAATTAATCTCTTCAAGGTCACCAATAGATTTGGGACTAGCCCTAAGTCACCTGATACGACAATTTGCCTGTAATTAACACCATTAAAACCTGTGTGATTTTTCTATAAATTCACAGTGACTGAAAAGCAATCAATTCATGAGACTTCTTTAAACTTGACGCAGATAATTTCGCAAATTCTGTCGGAGCCCAAGTTTTTGTTGGTCTTTTGACTATCTACTAAGGGATAAATGGTTAAGTCACATTTAGGTCAAATTATTGAGGCACGAACAAGAAGGCGAACACATGATTTTCACATCTGTCGGTTTTTCGCTGTCGGCAATTGCGTAAATGGCAGCTCTCTGCATTAGCTGCTTTTTTTTTTAAATCTAGGTTCAAACGCCTACATTGATAGGATTTTAGCGGTGGCAGAGAAGAATTATCGCAAACGACATCGTGTAAACATGCCAACTTGTGTGCCTCAAGAATATGACTTGTTTTTTTCCACAACTAAACTTCACCTAAACCAAAACCAGGCAAAGTTCACTAAAGCTTAAAAGGTGTGTTAATACTCGGTTGATGAACACAACCAAAGCCGAATTTAACTCGAGAAAATTGGTATTTTTTCTCGCCCCGGGGATTCGGTTCTTAACAGTGCTATTATGTGCCAAAAACGACCTTGTAAATATCACCTTTAGTACTTTAGAATGTTATTAACGTGAATTTCCGTGACTTGTATTCTGCTTTGCCACGTGACATTCAAACTTATCATTCATTTAATTTATCGAAGTCAACGAAGAATCCCAGCATAGGTCGAACGTCACGCACAATGACTTCGCCTATTTCTTAGTCGAGATTACATTGATGGGATTTAACTGATGCTGATACATTGTTTTAGCCTATATTCCAACCATTTTTATTCCGTACAACATTAAATTTGATAGACACCAATTGTAGCAGACCAGATTTGGTTGAAAAACAATTCACGCACGCCATTTACTTCACCTCCATCATTGACTTGACGGGAATAACAAAAACAGCTATTGACAAGAATGGCCTCATTAAGGGTTTCTATTTAGAGTTGTCTAAAGAAGAGAACTCCTATTAGATTCACGATGTTATGAAAGTGAAATAGTCTGCGCTATTTCATGGCCTTCAGACATTACCGTGGGGGAACTGTGGCAGGAAATGCAAATAACCCCAGTGGCTCAAATTCTCGTGAAAGAGTCATCTCTGAGTAAATTTGAAATTGTGCTTTGGAGTTACCTTGTAAAATAAGTTTTTCCTTATCTGACATATACTCAATCAGCTTCTGAGTCCCGCATAACTGCGCAATTAGGGCATTGAAAATACCGAATATTAGACAGGTTCATAAACCGTTTGCAGCCATATGGCAGTCGTCAAATCTTCCACATCTACACTAATGTAAGCACGAGCATTAAATCGCTTTTATTTTAGACTCGACCGAGTTAAAAAAAACGTCCATGCATTTGAACGCAGTTTTTGAATGCTTCTGAAGTGCTATTGGTGGTGGAACAGGAGGGACAAGGGAGACAGACGGCACTCACCTTTAGTAATGTGGCAACAACCTCTTGGGAGCTGTGTTCCACATCCACGTCGTTGATGGCCAGTATTTGGTCGCCAATCATTATTCTTCCATCCAGGTATGCCGTACTGCCCCTTATCTAAGCAAAAATACGTAGGGAATGCGATCAAAATTAGCGCTGCCTAAGAATATTGCTGGATTGTGTGAACTCTAGTCACCTTGATATCAACGGGTGTCCACAAATTAGTAGATTGCACTGTAATCAACCCTCCAATCATCAAGCTGGACTAACGCTTTCAATCAAGGGCATTTGTGCCACCTTATCACCAGTTATCTTTTAATTTTGTAGCCTTAGAGTAGAATTTAGTAAGGACCTACTAAGTCGCAGACGATAACGCCTAGTCCAACTTGTTCTGTGGGAATGCTGGGGCGCTGGTTGACCAGAGATCCGTCAGAGACTCCATTGGAAGCAACCACCGACGGTCCAGATCTCTCGACAATGCACAGACCGAATCCTCGTCCCTGTTTCTTGACTAGATCCACGGTGACCTCCTGGTCGTACCACTTCGTCTGGACCCCCGCACCTGGGCGTTCGACCAGCAGAGAGATGCTGGAGGACTCGGCGGAGCAGTGCACGGGCGAGTTAGGGGCTACCACACTGAGAAGGTCCATCTGACTCCACAGGGGGACTCGACCAGTGAAGGCAGACGCAATGGTCGCTACTGCGACAAAGTAGGGCAGGTTCAAGAGGGACTCATTGTTGACGGCAAGAATTCGGTCGCCAGGCTGTAGTCGACCGTCCAAGGCTACGGCGCCTTCTGGAAAGATTTCGTGGACTTGAAGAACACCCTTAAGTAAAGAAAAGCACCATTCTTAACCAAGTTATATCACAATGTGTCTTTGCCAAATTTAAAGTAGCAAACAGCTACTTTATTCAATTATTCAGTAAGCTGAGTTAGTGGGTCTTACGAGGGAAGTTTCACAGCCACCGATGAGGGAAACACCAAGTGTCAAAGCCGAATTCCGGCGTATCCGAATGTGCGTTTTTTTGCCTGGAAGGATTGGCCGTGTGGCAGCCAATTCCTCCTCCTCGTTTGCTGCACGCGACTTTCTGTGACGGCCTTTGTAGGAAGAGGCGAAACGCTCCAACACAGTCCCATAGGGCTCGCGGACTTTCTGTTCTTTGGAGTCCTCGCATCTCAGCGGCATGACTGGCAGCGGCGGCCCGGCCAATTGTGTCAGACTCGCCATAGGAAAGACCCCCAGAAAGTGGTTCGCAGCCAGACGCTTCGCGAAGCCGGGGTCCACTGCTTCCGGACACGACGACCGACGCAGTTCCTGGGAGGCCATGTCTGGTGTAAGCAAGTCAAAATTATCCGAAGCCACGGGACGAGGCGAAACTAAAAGCGGATGAAGTAAAACTATTAAGAAATCTACAATCAGTATTCCAGCATCTCTGAATCGATAAAAAGTTTGCATCTAGAGTTATGTAGGTCAACTGCTGACTACATTTTGATCGGTTAATAGTGTTTTTCAAAGTATAGCCGTAGAGGTATTTTGCTAAACTTTTCCATATTGTAACATCACTAGCAATACACATTGCTCTGTTGCATTAGCACCATCTGCGGTTGTTTCGCCACAAAATATCACAGTTCGTGGCTTCACTGGCTTGAATCTCCTGTTTTCTGGCAGTTGACATCTGGAAAATTACTAATGTCTATGCAAGAATAAGTAAAAACAGTTTTTTTTCATAGTTTGCGATAATTTTATCGATTGAGTACCAAGGGTGGAATGGCCAATTTTGCATTTAATTTAGATTTTGAAGGGAAAATAAGACATCACCAACAAGTTTTGCTTTATAAAGTACAGAATGAAGTGGACGACGCTGTTGATTAGTCACAATGAATACAAACGCGTGAATTATCAGGACGTTTGCGTCAAGTTGGCTTTAACACTGAACGCCATTCTCGATTGTCCAGCGCATCCATAATTTTGACGGAAATTAACCTGGCATGAGTGCATTCCGCATCGGTACTAACTTTATAGTCCCAGGTTATTATTCCAGACAGATTACTAGGAGTCTCATTTGAAACCCATTTAGACTAGTGTCTGATACCCACCACATCCACCTAACTCAATTTCGCAACATATGTCTGTCTGATTAAGCTGTGTGTGGGGGATTGTTCAATCCTAAAATGTTTAATAGTCTGTGGGAATATGGGGAAAATTAAATTGCAAATCATAATGTTAGTTTCCCTAATGGATAGTTACGGACAAAAAAATATTTTAACACTGACCAGTGTGCAATGTTCTTGTATATGCATTTAATATTTCCCCAGCAAATATGTGCATCCCTAAACACTGTCAAAGACGCATTAGTGGTGCTATTTTTCGTAACTTCGGGCTAGTCAACGTGGCGGCTAATAGCTTCGGGTATTTTAAAATTTGTTGGCAATTTTTCAATGTATATAAACAAATCCCTCGGATTTGGCTTATTTTTGTACCGTTAGCATAACAATACTAACCTGAATGCACAATTTACAGGCAAGTATTGGTAGCTGACAGGTTTTGGTAGAAACTAACTTCGAGATAGACTTAAAAGAAGGTAGCATCAGATCATTGTGTCTAAAAGTTTTCAGATAACCAATTAATTCACACCAGATTTAGTAATTGGCAAGTAAATAACCTGGAAGAAATTTGCATTCTAAGCTTTTTTTGAAGAGTACGTGTGTGGTGCCGCCAATTAGCAGGAGACACAGTTTGTGGATAAGAGGTGACGCCCATTTACCCTTGCGTTTGGCCTCTTTTCGTGCACCGGCGCATGTAACGATCGCGTCGTCCATGGACGCCAGCTGGAGCGAGGACTTCTTGGAGGAGGTTGAGGAGGAGGAGGTGGTGTGCATGAAGGCGTGGATGAGGGACGAGATCAGAGGTGCCGAAAGACGTTTTTTAAAGCTCAATTTGTACAGTTCGTCATCATCGGAGGGCATGTTATCGCCTGTGAAGAGGCGAACTCGGGAAATAACTATTCGCACCTTAATTGGGGAAAGTAGTTGTTATTGCGTTGCCAACAAACTCCTCGCTAGTTTGATCATCGATTTCTTCTCCCAACCCACAATTTCTTAATAAATTTGCGATATATATTCATGAAACAAATAGCTATTTTATGTGTGGTGCTAAATCCGGCTTTTGTCTCCATGCATAACCTCTGAATTTCTGAATTTTAAGAAATGATATAAAGAGATAAGTGTGATTATTATGCAATTCATTACTTGCTTCTTTTAAAGCAGATTAATATTAACAAAAGAACCAAAAAAATTGGGATTTAATTGTCTGACAATTAACAAAATACTTCATTTCTTCAGCAGTAGCCTTGGTCTCCATATATTTGCAAACTAGTTCATTGCAAAACTGTTATAAATATTTGCTTCTCGCATCAGAGAGAGAATGGAAATAATGCATAATTAACGTCCCACCTGATGCCGTGCTGATCGTATCCACTCAAGAACAGAGTCGTAGCTGGCGTGTAGCGCGTCGTGCCAATCAACGCGCAAAATTCGATCACCCGCACGAAGCGTTCCGTCCTGAACCAAGAAGGAACATTTTGGCGTACTTTTTTTTCGAAAAAACAAAACTACTGACGTGTCCGGCGTAGCTGATAAATATAAGTCCAGTGCAAACGCACCAATCACTTTAGTCAATTTATGCTAATTTACACGGCCACAGATTTCAGTGATCTAATTCCATTAAACGATGCCTGTGTGATTAACCTTGTCACATTGGGATGATTTAAATTTATAAAAAAAATATCTCGAATTTTAGACCTAATAAATAGAAAATTTTATATGAGCTGATGAGGTGTAATTTGTTACAGAATCGTCACAAAAGCATTGGACACTTGACCCACTGCCAAACGACAACTTGGCTAAGTTTATTGTAAGAAAGCCTTGAAGAGCCGATTTCCCTTTTCCCTATTAGGAAACACACGTTAATGTCGAGTTACCAATGTCCAGATCTCCTTACATTCAGGTCCATTTAAAACTAGCCGTTAGTGTATTTTTCTCTGTGAAAGACAACTAGAATATTCCAGTAGCTTTGAGGGAAGTCTGTGACGTTTTCAACAAAAACAAACTTATTAAAAGTTATACTGATGCGAATGTTGCTTAACATTTATCATGGAAAAGACAAAGTGGGTCTGCATTGGACTGAATTTGCAATTTCTGCTGTGCAACAAGAGGGCATAACATTAAGGTGGATGCCTTCGTAGAGCTGTATTCCAAGTAAGTGCCGTTATCGATTTTTTTTTCAAAAATGACATAGGCATTTCTATATTTTTTTTGAAAATGCGCATATTCTGAATCGCAGAGAACCACATTCGCTAATTCGATCACTCCAGCCTCCGACACGAGGTCCCTCTATTCACAGCATGCCGACAGCCGTGCAGATCCTCAACTCCCCCATCATTCGCAGGAATATTTATCCTGGATTTTCCTCACACTTAGGTCTTGATGTTAGCGCATGTATGACTTACACATCCGAGGTATAAATGCACACGAGCGAACGCCAACCACGACACAACGACACCAATGTGGTTGAGCTCTGAAGTAAACGGTTGTGTCCACGTCCTCTCAGATCTTTTTCTTCATCGCGGGTATCAGGGAAGCGTAATCGGGCCAGAGTTAATTCAGTGGCCCCGGCGTGGTTCAAAACCACATGCTGGGGCCCACAATAATTGGTGACCCCGACCTAATGGAAGGTACCCCGAATTCCACAACAATTTGTGATCCCATAATACGCCTAAAGGAACCTAAGTAAATCCCGGGTTTTGTTAAACTAGCCCCTTGCTGTAGCAAGTTAATGATAATTAGTTAATTTTAAGGTAGTGCATTTTTCTGATACGCAAGCATACCTGTTGCCTAAATTAAGATCTGAGTGAAGTCCAACGCATTTTGGTATTTGTGTCTGGTAACTGCCTATTTAAGGCAATAAAATATATTGAGACACGACCACTAAATCTACTTGCTCGTCTGCCGAGTATCCATGGTTTTATTGCAAATTTTAACCGGTTTTTTGTGAAATAAAGCTTGGTTAAGCAGAGCACTTCATCGTCGGAGGGCAGATTATCGCCTTAATTTGGGGGAAGTAAAAGCCCTCATAGGGTTGCCACCAAGCCCCTTGTAAGTTCGATCACCGATTTCTTCTCGCGAGCCACAGTCTCTTAAGACAACATATCTCTGGTGTGTTAACATTGATCTAAAAGGTTATTAGTATTTTTGAAATACATGCAAAGTTTATGCAAGCATGCGAGTCGATGAGCCACCTAAGCTTGACTGATATACTGGCGTTACAATGTCCAACATTTAATACTTCAAACCAAATTTTTTTCCTACAACCATCACCATTAATACCTTGCACATTGAAAATGCATTAAATGAAAAAAGATTAACCTTGTGCTTATAAGAAGAAAAGGGTGAGCCTAGAGATTAATACGGCAAAGCAAAGCACGTCAGTGTAAAATGAGAGGCATTTAGTAATTAAGTAATCAAGCTGATGAAACAAAATCGCACTACACTGAAAAGTTATTAAATTTGAACCTTACCAAGGCGGCAGGTCCATTCTCAACAAGCTGTTTGATGTAAATTCCCGGCTCGTTGGTGAAGCTTTTATCCATAATCGCAAAACCGAACCCATTTCGGCCCTAAAAGCATAAACACCTGTCAACTGATGGTTTGGAAGGCCTTTTGTTTCAGTTTTAGTGCTGCAAGTTGAAGGGTGGTGAATCAAATTAAAGGTGGGCTATATCCTTGGAAAACTCACGCACCCGAAGCAGCCGAGTCGCGTGGACTTCCTCAAAGGTCGATCGTCCGATTAGGCTTCCTCCAACGTGTGGAGGGGAGATGTTTCGTGAAGGCGATCCAACACCAGCAGGAAGATCCGCGCTGCTCTTACTAGTTTCCTAGAAAAATGAAAGCAGATTTGTAGATGAAGAAATGTCGGACGCGTAAAACCACTTTAAGCCTACAGTAGCTACGTGGCAACTAGCGGAATGCAATACCACTCTTCTTCCCCTGCAAGAAAGTGTTTAAACGACAGCCAGGATTAATTTGCTCCTTTGTCTGTTGTCAGGGGCAGACTGATGGCCACTACCTAACAATAGGGACAATTTTACGACTAACTGAGTTTATTCCCTAGCCAGCAGACTTGATGGCTGATCACAACTGTCAACGTGTGGACTTTCTCATCCTGGATAGGGAACGCAACACGCAGTTTAAAACTGGGCCAATTATTTCGCATGAAAAATAATTATTAAACTGCCTTAACATGCGAATTGATGCTTATCTGGGACGGTAACGATTTGTTTACTACTTGTCAAATTAAGCAAAATCAACAACTTTTCCAGTCAGTCGTTTGCAACAACTTATGTGAACAACTAACAAGAATCGGGCAGCTTTAATGTCGGTTTTTAAGCATAGATCTGAGAAGATACACGCTAATCAACTGTACGACTGTACCGCTCAGATTTTTGAACTCAATTAATCGTGTTTGGCCTACGAAGAAATTATTTTTCGTGCGTATTAGTGGGGAAATTATGATGCTTATCGCGTGAATCTTCTTCCTTTCTTAAGATCACAGTTGCGAAGTGAAAAACCGGATGCGTTTGTAAAAATACAACTGCACTACTTGAAGAAAACGGATTAACCGTGGCAGTGGTAATTACCGGAATGATTTAGAGAAAAATTACTACTGAAAATTGCTGTAATTATACGTAATTTTCTAATTTTCACTAACCTTTCTGAACCAGGCGACGACGCTTCGTAGGTTAGTTCGACAGCACGCAGTTGGGACTGACATTTGTGTGATGTCTTAGTACGATCACTCGATGTCAACTCTACACTCTCTGAAGGCAACTTAAGCGCAGTTCTAAGTTCATTTTGTGTGAGCAGAAGTCACACACTTCTTAGTGTTTTTTTATGTACTAAACTGTTTAACCACATCCAAAACTCAGGATTTATCTCAGTTTATAACCAAGAAAGGGCTTGTACACAAAGGGAAATCTTACAGTGATGTAGGAGAGTGGAGCGACAGCCATGTTGGCGAGGTTTTCGGGATTTCGGCAAATCACGAAACACAACGACAAGGGGGTTTTGCATCGCTTGTTTGAGGATTTTTGAAGGACGCGGAGAAGACAGGAACGAATCAAGGGACCAGCGTTGAGGTGGCTTCGTCCGTACAGAACGTGCTCGTTTAGCTTTAAAAACGACGGATTTTTACTAGATCAAATAACCACGTCTTTTGACAACCGAAAAGCTGTTTGTCTAGTGAAAATTACAGAAGAGTGACTTCATCATCCTACTGGTTTAACTAAATGCATTTAAAAAAGTTAGCACATCTAGCCTGAAAACCGATACTACTTCAGTTGCACCCGAATCGTTATCATATTCGTTAACACAAGTGCTTAAACCTGCAAAAATTTTTGTGTTTCCTTAAATCCAGACTAAAAGGGCGAAAAAAGGGTTTCTTTTTAACGTATAGGCATGGTGGAGATTCACGTAACCCAAGGTAGACAAAAATTCTGCTGATTGAATTCACCTGTCGGAATAACAACACCCATCACTATCAAAACAGCCAACCACCAGGCTGTTGCCTGGATGTTTTGATGTAATTGGTTAAAAACACGGGGTTCAAGGTTATCAGCACGCTTCTGTGCCCAATCGTGTTGAGGGAAAAAATGTTTACTTAGCATTAAAAGCGTCCCTCGTTTGTCATGCGTTTATGATTTCAGATCAATACCAAGAACGCTAAGCCCTGCAGCTAGAATTAAATGCGAAACAGCTGTTGTCCACTTTAAACCAGTGCTTTTCACGTTTTAACGATCAAGCCATGTGCCTTGAATTCACTGTTTTCCATAATAGCAGTATTTGACAGTGCTAGTAGATTTTGACATTTAAATCAGCCAGCGCATACCTCAAGTAACTGGTCCCCGACGGAAATTCGTCCGTCCACTGCAGCGATACTACCGGGTCGAAGACCGCAGACAAGCACTGCCATCTGATTCAAATCTTTATTTCCACAAAGAGATATTCCGAGGCCTCTGGGCATTCTAGGATCCAGGAAGCAGGTGGGGTGTTGGAAGGAGGTGATTGGTGAGTTCGGAGAGCCCTTTGGAGTTGCTGGAGGCGGCGTGGTTGAAGTTCGAGGCTTGGAGGCTATGTTGCTAGCAATGATGTCGAGGATGTCCTTCAAGGTTATCTCGACGATGACAATCTCACCGGAGAGTTCACCGTACTTCCTTTGTAAGGTATCTAAAATGTCCAGCCTCTTTTTCAGGCCCACTTTACGGACGCTACTAAGTCACTTCGTGGGAAACCACAAGTGAATGCGTCGTGAGAAACGCCCAATCCAAAGCGCAATGATTAACTGTTTTGACACAACCGGAAATGTGTCCGTGTGCATTTGTATCAGCTCATTATACCCAAAACTCATGCACAAAACATGCGGCGCAGTAGTGGTGTGCTGTCGTGCCGTTTATTTTTGAGCCTGTAAGCAGTAATTAAAACGCCTCTCCACTGAGTCCCAATGTTACCACCTAGGACGGGATGAATCAAGCACAGAAATTGTGTTGACAACTTCAGGCATTATTAACTCCGCTTTGTAGGCTAAAATAATAGCGCCAGTTTAGGTGTCAGCGCAGGCAAAAACGTACAATAGTTTTGCGCTTGTTGCCACGGCAACCCAGGTTTAGTATAACACCTGACGACAGAACAATTGACGTAATTTCTTAAAGCAAAGTGATTTGACATTGCGTCTAAATGATATTTCGTAGGTATAGCACAGAAATGCTAACCTTTGCGCATTGTTTTAAACCACCGGACCAGCCAATTATTTACAAATGCATACTCGCATTTTTAAATTCACTAATGACCTTCAAATCTGATTGCTGGTAAGTCATAATGTTCACCTTAAAGTGAAACGTCTGGCGACTGTAATGCAGACCGATATCGCATCGTTTTTCTGGGTTTGTTACTTGGCAGCAATTAGCACGTTGAATTCGCTTCAGCAATTATTACGCATAAATCCACTACACGATATCCACACGAACTCGGCGGCTCTCAGCGATTATTTGTACAAATATTGCACAAACCGTATTTGATACATAGCCACCTACACTTGTTTCATTCACTTAACGGAAGTAACTGTGGGCATTTTACAAAATTTTGATAAGCCTTTAGGAAGGATATTACTTTTTAAGATGGAATTATTTTTTTATATCGTCAACGCAAAAGCAACTGCTCCGAAAACTGACTTGTTGTTTAAAATCAGTAAATGTATTGATAAATGCGGTTAACATTTTAAATATTGACTTTCTTTATTTAAATGTTATCGTGTAAATATGAAAATTAATTTTGCCTGTTTAACTTGGAGGCAGAAATAAACGGCACACTTAATTACACGCGTTGAAAGTCCTTGCCTCAATTATCCTGCGAATAGTCTTGTTATTCTTGGCCACATTGCTGGCTTAGCATTGGCTTGGCCGCATTATGTATCCTACAGTACGTGTTCTCCTAACAATAGACGCATCCACTATTGAAAAGAGGAATCGACTGTCAAGGTCACCGAATCAACTACAGCTGCACTGATTCGCCCATGGTAAAATGGGTTATCAGAAATTCATTTTCTTGACCTTTTCTGGAATGGAAGAATGAGCGAAAATCGAAGTCCTGTGGAACACCTTATACAACTGTAATATTATTAGCAGTCAAGCGTTTTCTGCATAGCTCAAAAAATTAACGTCACAAAGCCAGACAGTTAATATCGACAAAAAAGTTATTTCGAAAGTGACAATGCTAAAGTGGGGTGCATATGACCTTCGTAGATGTTTACCTAAACAATTCCACTTATTAGGTGCTGTTAATCCATCATACTCCTGATTCGTAAATTTCTGTAAATGTATCAGCCCTCCAAGGGACACTGAAAACTGCTTTGCACTTCATGTCGTTTGCATTACCAACAAATCGCAAAAACGCCATGATGACCTTTGCAGGCGCAGAACTCACGACTTGTAACCATCAGCAGGTGAGAGCTAGCGATTCTCCACTGACGATGTATTTCCAGTGGTTATAGACACCTCTAAATTGTGTGACACAGCCACAGGCCTTAAGTTACTTCGCGAGTTTGAAGACGTTACAGATTGTGAAAATGCGCTGACTTATTGTAAATGGCATAAGGGGCTTTGATCTGCTAACATCAAAGTTGCGAATTTTGTTGCCCGAGATGATCTGATTGCGGCGTTTTTTGTAAATGCCGCTCTTGTATTCGTCCTCTCGCACAATTTAGCCGTCTCTGCATAAACAATGAACCTCGTTTTAGAGTGTAGACAAGACTGCTGCGCTGGATAATCACCAAATTCACAATCTTGATGAATCACGGTGCACACGTAGAACTAATGGGGCAAACGTTTTTCATAAATATTGTATCGACACTATCTTTGCAGTCGCAACATTTTAGTAACGTTATTTTAGCATATTTTGCTACGTCTAAAACGTGTGTTTGTTGATTCATTTTGCTAAATTCAACTTCAATAAACGGTGGCAGATGCAGTTTCTGACCACTTAAATATTTTACAGGTTTGTTTCTATGTTATTAAATAGTCGCACCAATCTGCAAATATACAGAGGAGGTGATTAGGTAATCTGCAGTTCTGCGACGAGTGTAAGGCTGATTGTTGGCGTGATCGAGCGTAAAGCCAAGATTCCAGTCATAGCTGGCGGTTAAAACCATTTGTGCGTAAATTTTCGGCTCAAAAAGCACCTCGTTGGTGTAAGCATTTTAGCAATGCTTGTTTAATTTCGCAGTTCAGACTGCGCGGTGTTCGTTAAAATCCCAGCAGAGAGATTCCATGTGACATCTTGTCGACAAATTGTGCCTTTTCAGATTCTAGGTTGAAAAGCGATAAGCAAGCAGTTTGGAAATGCAGTCACTTTTATATCATAGGTGAACCTCCTGTTTGTACAGCAAGGATAGATCACTGTCTTGCTTAGCTATCAAACTAGAACAAATGATGCCGCCTTGAATTGAAGATGCATTTTGAGTTGCATGCAAAAGACATTGTTTCTCTTCAACAATCCACTAAAATCCATTGATCCATAAGCAGTTTTGTTATCTTTAAAAATTAAAGCCAAATTTTTCTTCATTACTTGTTAGATTTTTTTGTAAAAAGAGTGCCCTAGAAATGATGACACTTTAACCACACCAACCATTTTAATTGTTATTTAATTCCCTTGAAATGGAAAAGAGAGTGTGTGCGTGTATTGTCAAATTTTTTTGTGACCTTAGGCAATTTGTATATCGCAGTATAAAGCATCTAAAGACAAGAAAATTTCACAATATTCTTTGATGTTAGTGTTTACATAAAACTACATCTCCTGTTCAAGTTTGCATTAGCAAGCATGTACCAAATCGGGGCACGAAGTACCGGACTAATTTTCTGCCTCTGATAGCATCTAACTAAAGCCATATCAGATCCTATTTCAGTTTTTCGATGTAATTTCCGTCAACATCAACTATTTTGCATTACGAGTGTGTCTCTATTAACGAAAATGTTCAAAGCTAAGTTGACTTATCAGCTGCTGCCACAAAAACATTGCATAATAACCTTGTGAGAACGAGGTCACAGAATGTGTGGACCTAGTTTATTGCTCCTAAGGTCATACAATTACATCAAATTGGTAAGAAATCTTGTAAGTGTTAATTAAAATTGTTTTTTTTTTCACTTTTTTACTGAAAACACAGTTACACAGGCCAGGTAATTTTATAAAACAGCGGTCATTCATCGGTCATTTTGTAGATGTCAAGGTTCGGTGCGGGGACACTGAATAAACATTGCAGCCAAATATGAAGGAGTTGCAACAAAGAAGAAGCCATTTCAGTCACAGCTCCGTATTAACACTATAGGATACTGGCGAAATTATTGCCTTATTAAGTGGACTTGAGTAGCATGTAAACACACGTTTCCGTTTATTGCGTCCTAATAGCTCATGTCAGGGTCATTAGTTTTAGTCAGCACGTCATTGGTGCAATGTATATTGTTTGTCAAGACATATTAGAGGGTTCTATTGCCATAGGCCTTACCGAATTCATCATCCGTTACAGGCACGTACAGAATTTGGTCCTCAGATTTGACAGTTGAGTTGAGGCTTTCGGCGATGGGATGAATGGACTTTAAAATACGTTGACCATTTCCCCTTGTCGACGGCGAACAGTCCACTGCGGTGCTAGATTTTGACACCTCACGCGGCCCTTCAACAAGTGGGTCTGATTTCGAGACACTGAGACAGGCATTGTTCGTGCCTGACAACGATGCCCTGCTCATTGCCGCGTCTCATTCAAAAGCGCGTAAGTCCACGAAAAAGTACACTTAGGTGATTCAATGTGCCGTGAGAGTTGATCGGCCGATTAGAGTGCCTGGCTTGACGCCTCGCGTTCATTAGGGCCGAAGTGGATAATAAACCCTTGAACACGTCAGGTGTGCGCACACACACCTGTCCACGAGTCGGAAAAGGGACGCTCTGATTGGCCAGTAGACCAGCCAATCGGAGTGGAGCATCAACGTCATTGATCTAGGTCGAATGCCGAGCCGACTATCCGTGGTGTGCAGGTAACCGAGTCCGGCTGCGTGATAGTATTATTTATTTACTAGTTCATTTTAGTGACAAATTGGCACAGAGTCCATTAAGTGGATGCTATGGCGGTTATATTGTGTATAATACACTTATTTAGCAGCCGTGTGATAGCCTCAGGTCGAGAAAATGGAATTAACTTACACTTTCATAATGACATTTTGCTTGAACCAATAAGCGTCTAGCCATTGACGTGCAGTTACTTTTTGATTATTAGCGTTGTCAACTTACTTTTATCGATTTATTCCTACCTTTTCTCTACCTCGCCTAATTTTTTACATGATGATTCGGCGATGCCAACAATTCGTTAATTAATGCACCATTTAATGGTTGCTAGCCCGCTGCCGCAGACACAGCTCACGAAACAGACTTTATTTCCTAGACAACGAGTCGTTATGTTGCAATGTAGCACAGAATATGGAGCCCATTTTACATTGATTCAAATGCAAGTAAGAAAATTAGTCTATTAGGCATTTGAATGAAACCCTTTCTTTAAATGCACACATCTTGGTGCATGAACTGTGACGTAAATGGCAAAACCTATTGTTAAAGTTCATTCCAGACTCGTTGACTGCTAGGTGACAGAAAAAGCAAGATTTAAATCGATGCTGCCAATCGAAGTCATGCACGATGTATCATTGTCCTAAAGATTTTCGAATCAATGATACGGGAAATTTAGTACAACATGATTGTATTACCACGTCGATTAAGCAATTTCACCAGCTGGCACATCTATTATGCTTATTTAGCTGGCCCTTTTTTGATAGCCGGTTCTTGAAACTCTTCATTTCATCACTGAACTATGGATGGTAAGCCGGTGCCAGGCCAACAACTATAGAAGTCAGTTTGTGCCTCAAAATGTTAATAAAATCAACGTCTTTGTGATTTTTACTTTGGTCTACTGTTTATACATCACTGGTTAAGTCAGGGAGTGACATGAGAATTAGCAAAGTTGCTGAGGCTGGCTTTGTGGTGATGGTATTTCGCCCTCTAACCTGCACGTTAAACTAATGCAAGCAGTTTATCGTCAAAGGAAGCAATAAGTGAAATGCCATTTTAATGTGAAAATAAGTCTTCTTATTACTTAATATATGGATTTATTTAAGAGCGTTCTAGATTCCCACAAGGGGTACATAGATTGCACTTCTTTCATCCATGTGCGTGCTTCGTTTACCTGG